AAAAAAAAAAAAAAAAATCCTCATAGCAGTATTATTTGAAATAGCCCCCAATTGGAAGCAGTCCAAATGTTGATCAATGGTAGAATAGAAAGACACACTGTGGTATATGTATATGGTCAATACTACCCACTAATGAAGAAAATGAACCATGACCATCCATAGCTACATGGACAAATGCCCAAACATAATATTCAGCAAATAAAGCCAGACATCAAAGGTTAATACTGTATGATTCCATTTGCATGAAGTTTGAAACCAGGCAAAACGAATCCACAATAACAGAAGTTGAAATAATGGTTTTATCCTTGGGGGGATAATGACAAAAGAGGCAGGAGAGAGGCTTTAGGGTTGCTGGCAATGTTCTACAGCTCAGGCAGGTTGGTGGTTTAAATGGGTGGGTCCAGGCGGTGAAAATTCATGGAGTTGTACATTTATGACTCGTGTACATTTCTCTACGTGTGTTGTAGTTCCATAAAAATCTTATACAAAGTCCTCAGCGAAAAGGCCCTACGTGATAATGGCACTCCCTCTGCCCCACCCCTATTTCTGGCTGCACCCCAACTTTGCTCACCCCACTCTTGTGACCCTTCTCTCATGGTTCACTGATACACCATTGTTGGTCTTTCCTTCCTTGAGGATTTTGTACTTACAGATCCATCTGTTCCCAGATATCCACATAGCTTACTCCCTCACCTAATTCAAGTCTCTGCTGGAACTTCCTCTTATCAGAGAAATCTCGCCTGATAAACCTATGTGAAATAACATCCTCCACCACTCTTGTCCCCTTGCTCTTTTTAATCTTGTGCAAATATGTAACCACTGCTTTGCATATTGTGTGTTTGTTTGCTCATTGATTTGTTGTCTGTCTCTATTACTAGAATCTAAGCTCCATGAGAATCGGTACTTGGTTTACCGTCGTATCTTCAGTGCGTGAATTGGGGCCTGGCGCATAGTAGGTGCTCGGTAAATATTTACTGGAGGGATGAATGCAATAGGCAGCAGTAAATAAGACAGACATTATTTCTGTTCTCATGGAGGAAAGAGTGGCTTAGATCTTTAAAAGGAGCATAAAGAGTCTAGCTAGCTCTGAGGTAGGAGTTGTGTTTCTTTGTACTTTTATAGGGTGTAGGACAGGGACTGACCTATAGAGTAAATTTTCCGCAAGTGGTTATTGCGGTCTTTAAAGCTACATTTCTGAGCTTAGAAATTTACCCTCTCAAAGAAAGAATGAAGACAATTGAATGAGTGAATGAATGAATGAATGAATGAATGAATATTTTTAGCCCCATCAATTTCCAAGCCATAGAAAAGAGACTGGATCCAAACCTACCAGCAAGTTCTTGAAATCAGGTGAGTGTGTGTGTGTGTGTGTGTGTGTGTGTGTGTGTGT